GTGTGTGTGTGTGTGTCGGTGTGTGTGTGTGTGTTTTTTTTGTGGGTGTGTGCATGTGGGCGTCTGTGTGGGTGTATGTGTCTGGGCGTGTGTGTGTACCTCAATGTGTGTATGTGTGTGGGTGTGTGTTTGTGTGTTTGCGTCTATGTGTATGGGTGTGTGTGTGTATCTATGTTTAGTTGTGTGTGTGTTTTTGTGTGTGTGTTTGTGTCTGTGTGTGTATTTCTGTGGGTGTGTGTCCCCTCCTTCTCTCTCTCTCTCTATCTTTCTCTTTGTGTGTAAATATGTGCGTGTCTTATTGAGTGTCTATGTTTGGGCGACTTTGTATGTGTTTGTTTGTGTGTGTGTGTGTGTGTGCGTGTGGGTATGTGTGTGTGTGTGTGCACGATGGCGTATGTGTGTGTTTGTGTGTGTGTGTGTGTGTGTGTGTGTGATGGGGGGCTTGTGTGTGTGTGGGCGTGTGGGCTCGTGTGCGTGTGCGTGTGTGTGTGTGTCGGGCGTGTGTTGTTGGGCGTGTATGTGTGGGCGTATGTACGTGTTTGTGTATGTGTGTGCATGTCTATCTTTATGTGTGTGTCCATATGTATGTCTGTGTGATTGTTTTTCTATGTTGTGCGTGTGTGTCTTTATGTATGCGTGTGTGTGTGGGTATGGGTGTGGGTGTTTGTGTGCATGTGGTCGCGCGTGTGTGTGTATAGGTATTTGTGTGTGTATGTGTGCGCGCGCGCGTGTGTGTATGGGAGTGTGTGTGTATCTGTGCGTGTGTGTGCCTTTATGTGTTTGTATGTCTAGTTGTGTGTGTGTTTCTGTGTGTTTTTGTCTCTCTCTCTCTCTCTCTCTCTCTCTCTCTCTGTGTGTGTGTGTTTGTGTTTATGTGTGTAGGTGTCAATGTGTGTGTGTTCGTGTAAGTGTCGGTATCTATGTGTGTGTATGTGTGTCTGTTTTTGTGTGTTTGTGTCTGTGTGGGTGTTTGTGTTTGAGTGTGTGTATATTTTTGTGCGTGTGCGTATGTGTGTGTATATGTGTGTCTGATTGTGTTTGTGTATCTCTGTGTCTGTTTATGTATCTGTTTGTGCGTGTGTGTATGTGTGTATGTGTGTGGACGTGTGTGTGTGTGTGTGAATTTATGCGTGTGGGTGTGCGTGTGTGTGTGCGTCTGAGTGTGTGTGTGGGGGGGTATGTGTGTGTGGGCGTGCAGTCTCGTGTGTGAGTGTGTGCGTGCATGTGTGTATGTGTGTGAGTGTAGGCGTGTGTTGTTGGGCGAATATGTCGTTGTGTATGACCGTGTGTGTGTACGTGTGTGTGTGTCTATCTATATGTGTGTGTCTATGCGTATGGTTGTGTGTGTGTGTGTCTACGTGTGTGTGTGTCTATTTGTATGTGTGTGGTTCGGTGTGTGTGCGTGCGTGTGTATCTGTGTGTGTGTGTGTGTTTGTGTCTGTGCGTATGTGTTTGTGTGTGTGCAGGTGTATTTGTGGGGGGAGGGGTCTGTCTATGTTTTTTTGTCTATGTGTGTGTATGTTTCTTTGTGTGTGTGTGTGTCTGTANTCATGTGAATGCTCCATTAATGTGGAGAGAGAAAGAAAAAGATTATTGAATATAGTGAGGAGGTATAGAGTATTTTTGAAATAAAAAAATAGTAAAAAATGTAAAATGTTTTTGAAATAAAAAAAAATAGTTGAAACGCAACACTCATTATCTTTAGGTTTTAGTCCATCAATATTGTTGGAATAACAAACCCAATCATGCAATGATCCAAAAATATATTATGGAGCTGGACTATTTTTTATCATTCGGCCCAAATCAAAATTTAAAATGGAGTGTAAACATATTTGAAATCGAAATTAAGTTACATATGCAAATACTGTCTCAATTTGTTTTAATATTAAAAAAAAATATTTGAATTGATCTATAATCTTTATAATAAATTCTAAGAACACACCTCTAACTCAATTAGAGAAATAGTGAATTTAAGTAAAAATATTTTGAGCAGGGTTAACAAGACAATTTTTCTTATTAGTGCTAACGTCATATTTCTCTTAATATAATTTTTATTATTTACTAAAAAGTACAAAATCATAGATGAATTTCAGGCTTCTCGTGTGGGTTTCAACAGTTTTTAAATTTTTTAATTTAGTTGAATGTGAAAAATATATATTTTGGTAATTATAAACAAAATGCATCATTGGTATGAATAATTTAACATAATTTTGTTTTGTTTTTTGAACTTTAATAACTTAATAGATTTTTTTATATGCTAATAATAATTATTGAACACTTAAATTGAAAAGATTAAACACTATCATACAATTAATAAAAATATTAAAAAAAGTAAAAATATTTAAATGTAAAAGAAAATTTAATTACATCATATAATTAGACAAAGTTTATGACCAGAGAAGAAAATATAAAGGAGGATGAATATTACAGTGGGTACAGGATGTGAGAATATGTACATTTCCATTCTCATCTCCATACTCATGTGCGTTGATTTGAGTTTCATATTATCTTGTAGCACCTTATATTTACAATTTAGCTGAATAGGGCATAATCATATATTTAGGATTGAAAACTGTGAAATGAAATTATTATAAGGAGATCTCCACCTACTATAAGAACACTAAGAAACTTAAATATTTTATATTTTTATTTCATTTTAAATTTTAATGGTTTTAGTTTCAATTATATAAAAGGTTAATTCAAAATTAATTTTGTCCAATTCAAATAAATACTTAATACACAATAAATGTATAAGTATTCACTCATGAAAACACATATGCTCCATCTGGGAAAGGTGGTGCCTAGACCCATTCTTTGTAAGCACCACTTGAATGATATCTCCTATCTTTTTTCAATAATTCTCTCTAATTTATAGTGTTTTCTTTTTTCACTTCATAACAAAGTCTGTAAGATATAGAAAAATAACATTTAATAATTTGTAATTGGTAATAAAAGCAAAGCCCAAGTCACAAGGCCCAAAATCTACCCTCTCTTTTTCATCAGAGAACAAAAACTGAGTTATGCTTTGTGCAGTTAATCGACAATGCAAGGGTTTCGACGAATCACCACAGCGACCATCTCTACCGCAAAGCAATTCAAGTCTCTAACATCCATTATTCCCGCCGATACGCATTTCTCTCCTTCCGGCAAAGTTCCGGTGACGAGAAGGTGGCTGTCGAGCCGCAAGTCCCGGAGCGGCGAGGACGAGTGGAACGAGGCATGGGAAACGGCGTGGCTGCCGGAGGACTTAACACCGAAGACGCGAGCTCCATGGGAAAGCGACGTCAACTTCCCTTCCTCCTCTTCCTCCGCCGCAGTGGCGGTTGACGCCGTGCCCGAGGCCGATGAGGAGACGAAAGCGTTCGTGGCAGAGATGAACGAGAATTGGAACGAGCGGCGAAGAGGAAGAGGATCGAAGGAGAAGGAGAAGAGGGAAGAAAATGGCGCGCTTTACAGCGTGGAGAATATGAAGAAGGATTATCGACTGAAGAAACAGAGGCTGCACGCTGGACTGTGGTTGAAGGAGATTGAGAAGCTCGAGGAGGCAAAATTGGCCGATTCTGACATTGCTGCTGGCGATGACATTCAGAGATTGATTGATAGTTGCTCCGAGTATACCTCTCGCTCTCTTACCCCCTTTTAAATTGGATTATGGTTCTTGAGATGCTGTTTTATATTGGTATTTGAGTTTGTGGTTATTAATTTGTTATTGATTTAAGTCCCTGATACTGAAATCTCATCAATCATTATGGTTATATTCAAACTTTTATAATCTATTCTCGTGTAGAGTGTACAATTTGAAGTAGTTATTGACCTTGAGATTTCTAATGAAGCATGTTGTGCGGTTCTAACACCGGATTAGTTCTTGTTCTATGTTATTGTATACTGTGATATTATTGACCAATCACCATCTCTCCCAATATTTTGAACTATAGGTTAAGGCTTGGAAATTTATGATTAAGTTTAACGAGTGTTAGCTACGTACTATTCTGACATATTCTTCCTTGCTGGTCTCTTTTTTAAAACTACAAATTCATGAGTGTGGAGCTCATTAAATAAATAGTGAAGCCTAATTATTTTCATGATTTGCATCAAACTTCGGTTAATAGTAGAGTGTGTTAGAAGATGTATTGCTAAGAACTTTCTTAGTTTTATATATCTAAAGAACTGCCAATAGTACATTTATATTATTCGTTGAAATTTGTTGAAAATCACTGAAGTGTGTGTATATATATTCAAGTGGTAGCGTCTTGTGTTTCATAATTATGTGGTCCAGGTTCGAATCCTAATAATGTCCCTTTAGGTATGGATTAAACCATTTCGGAAGAGAATTCATATTGTGTGCACACTTAGGCATGCTATGAGAAAGCTCATTGTGTTTGAATTGCGGGTAATTCATGGACGCAGTCCCCCTTCCTTGTATTGTAACTCGATTTATAAGAAATGGCGTGGTAGGGGGATTGAACTTTCGACCAGTTGGTTGTAGAAATATCTAATGTGTGCCTTTCTTTTAATGCCATTAATATGGTATTGCTTTTAAAAGACGTGGCCTAATTAATGGTAGCAAATGAAAATCTATGAATAAGTACTTGTATTTTATTTGCGGGAATGCCAAGGTTTTTCCTTCACGGCAGAATTATTCTTTGTAGATCCCAGATAAGGCTATGACTAGGTATTAACTGCTCACTATTTAATTTTTTTTCTTCAATGTCTTATGTTATTTGCTTACTTTGTTTCGCACACTAATGTAGATGTATGGCCATTCTGTTTTTTCTACACTATGGGTTTTCTGGTCTCTTGTTTCTGTGCACATTAAGGTCTCATAGCATCGTAGTTATAGCTTTTTCATCTTAGTATCATCTCTACTTGTGAATGTTGTACTTAAATGACCGAACGACTGCAGCATTTTTTACCCTGGCAATAATGATCTCAACAATGCACAAGTGCAAACTGCGGAGTTCAAAAATATGCCTGATGGATGGGAAACGATATCAAAAAATCAAGAAGGAAATGTCTGGGAGATGTCCCAGAGAGAAGAAGATATACTTCTCCAGGAATTTGAACGACGTATTGCCTATAGCAAATTTCAGGTGTGTATAAAAACAATAGATTGCCATGTTGCTTTTCTAATCCCAATATAAAGCGTTGGTATTCTTTATAGGAATTATGGAGTATAATGTCAGATACCTAGTTTTTCTCTTTATCATTGACAACTTGATAAAACTTGTATGCAGATTGCTAGTTTTATCAAGACTCACATATTTAGCAGGAGGAGGCCAATTGATGGGTGGAAATATATGATAGAGGTGGTGGGACCAAATGCTAAGAGAGGAAAGGGTAGTGTTTCGAGAGTACCAAGTCTGTCTGATCCCTCTACAAAACCTTTTAAGGAGGAGAAAAATTCAGTTGACAAGACTTACCTTCCTCTTCAGAGAAGGTAGCTTGCTCATGTTGGTGCAGCGGTCTTTTGATTAAAAAATGGGTGAATAAAGGACAGTTACTGCTACTTAGCCTTTATTGACAACAGATGCTCTCCATGCAATCTCTGCTAAGGTTCAAAACCGTGGTTGAATTATAAAAGCAGGTGACGATATGACCCAGGATGAATGTGATACTAATTAGTGGCCTAAAAGCAAAAGGAGTTTTCTCTTTTGCCATGTTAAATATTACCTAATATGTGAAAGCATTTAGGGTTAAACTGGAGGATGTACACGAGGATATTGAATTGGGCTTCACAATTTTTTTAACAGGTGTTTAATATCTATAGCTATGTATTTATTTACTCGTCCAAATCATATGAAGAATGCACTGGAGGTTGCATATAGGATTGTTGATGCATCAAAAATAGGAACACGGCGTGCATTATATTAATTGAACATGCAGAAATAGTAAATCTGTGCCTATTGAAGCATTATAAACAATTAATCTGGTTCGATTGGTTGAGATTCAGGTCAGGTCAAACTTAATGGGGTTTTGCGCAAGTTGTCTCACACTAATTCTACATGTCTGTTAAAGAAAATAAACAGATTTAGGCTGCTATTTGTCATGTTTTTTCAATATCCATTAGCTAAAGTTAATTTTTAGGTATTGAAGATTGCAAGCCATATATTATTTCAAATAAAATTTTGCAATGAATAATTTAGTGGAGTACAACATGACCGTATGACTCGTTCAATTTCAGACAAATTTCAAAAGAAATACCCACGGTATACTTAGGTTGCTAAATAAATCAAGAGCTATTTCAAGGTACTTTATGCAAAAGGGTGTTTTAAGAAAAACAAAAACAAAAACCCTTTGAGCATCCCTTAACTAAAAAAATGATTTTTTTTAAAAGGGACTCCAAACAAAATCTTACAATTAGTAACGTACAAAGCATAACCCTTCCAATATAGCTACCACTGCTTCTCTAGTGGTTTAGCATTTTCTATCCAAATGCTTTCCTTAAAAATTGAGTTCTTTTTCATTAAAAGATTATTTCTACCATGGAACTCTATAACATACTTATATTTAAGGTAAAATTCTATGCAATATTTCGAGATATAATTTCAGTTCTAATTTACACTTGGAAGAACCTAGTTCTTTCTTTTTAAAGTGAATGAAAATCAGAGCCTTGTATTCACACACGAGAGCATTGCACAACTTCAGTCCTGCGTTACTGTTAGTAGTCTTCAATGAATAAATTGAATATATGCACATTTTTCTTATCAAATTTAGCTCAGCGAAAAGTAAAGTCAGTGAGTGTGTTCATATCCACATACTTGAAGTCGAAAAAAACTTTGGAAAAGAAAGTAGTGATTACTCCGGACTGACTCTGATCACGACAATGATTCTCCGTCACTTTCTCCACTTTTTTTTATCTTTCCTCCTTTTGCCTTTATAGTTGAATTAACTAGATGAAATATCTCAACCTGAACTAGACTTATATCTATATTAACTAAGTTCATAAGTCTTACACTTAAATCACTATTAAAGTATCGCCACGGTGATACTACAGATGAGTTTAAGGGTTAACACAGTTAATTAATATATATAATCATCATCAAAGATCATATAACTTCCGTTCCTCCGTCCTCTAGCTTCTCTGTCAGCCTGCATATATCAACAACCAAACCATAAGTGTTTTTTATGATTAAAAACAAACCTAGCTACATATATTTTCATGCTTAAATTGCACTAAAACAGGGATGCTTCCTATAAATTCTGTTCTCAATGAAATTAACAAAAGTAACTATAATTTACATCTAAAACCTTCCATAAGATTCTTGGTTTCCATAACTACTGGTCACAAAAAAATTTGGACAATGTGTACCTTGGTTATGAGTCTTTCAAATGCTTCAGTTCCATGCTCTTCCATGTACCTCTCAGCAGCAGAAAGGACATCATCCTGCTTACTAAATATGTTCTTTCGGGGAACATACCACATTTGAGAGGCTCCTGGAAACTTTGGCATTTGTGGCATTTGTGGATTCATATAGAATGGTCTAACATAGTGCCTATAAACATGTGCTGCCCCACTGAACTGCGGAAGAACTAGCCAGCAACTAAGTATCAACTTGGCATAAGGCCAAATGGCAAGCCTGAAATTAGGAACACAATTACATTGGAAAGTTACAATGGTTTAGTTTCTTAAAACTTTTCTAGCCAAGCAAAGAACTTGTGAGAGAACCTTTTGAAAATGAAAATTCCCCCCAAGTGATAACTAAAAGACTAATTGGTATTGGTAAATTACTTAAACTTAATTAAGTACTTAACCATAATCATGTTCATGTATTTAACTCAATGAATAAACACAAACTTAGTATTATGTATGATTATTAAAATGAGGCAAACTACTAAATAATTGTTAATAATTTAAGAATGTGTACACTACTAAAACGTTTTTCATTTTTTTATACCTTTACTTGTAATTTTATTTGTTACTATCTTATATCTAATATTTAGTTAAGTCTGAATGTTTTTATAGTTCTCTTAAGGATAAAATATTTCATTAAAAAATAGTATGAAATAAAAAATTTAAAACTAAAATAAATAACATAATTTGAAAAGAGATAGTGATGAATGTTGATAGAATATTGAAGATAAAATAAATAAATAAATATATATATATATATATATATATATTATAATAAGGTATAAACTCATATATTACTTAGCATTTAAAACAAAATGTTATAAATTAGTTAGCTGAACATGCTCACAACAAATGGCTTAATAAATGTCAAGGGTTCTTTCAAATAAAATAAGCTAGTTATCTTAAAAAGACCTGTAAAACACACTCAAAAGTTAAAACTCATGATTTTTAACTTAAAATTTGAACTTTAAATAAATAAAATCATTATGTTTTCAGAAACCAAAATAACAACGTGCATGAATGATTGTTTTTCTATTATTTCATGGTTTTTTACCATTAAGGTATATTTTCATTATGAAATTATCAATGTGATAATTTTTTAAAAACATTTGAACTTGGACAAATCACGTTAAGTTGAAAAAGTCCTCTCATGCAGAGACGATTTTACTTTACTTTAAGTAAAATGAAATCATGTCAAGTCAAAACAAATTTCATAAAAAAATGAAGTCGTCACATCAGGCGATTTATGTGTTTTATAAAATAATAAAGAAGTCATATGACAATGTGACTACTTCAATTTCTTTATGAAATGTGTTAAAGTCGAATGTACTATGATGTTGTCACATCTTGAGGTAATTTGTGTTCTATAAAATGTAAAGAAGTCGTATGACCTTGTGAAGATTTCAATTTCTTCATGAAATGTGTTGAAGTCGAATGCTGTTGTGACAATTTCAGTTCTTTTATAGCATGAACTGAAGTTATAAAAGTTGTTTTTGGCTTGACTTGATTTCATTTCAATTAAAGTAAAATCACCCTAGAATAGCATGACTTTTTCTTTATGAGGTGGTATCAATATGGTATGACTTACCATGTCCAGTTCGATTTTTTTTTTTAAAGTTACCCATTTTAGTAATTCAAAATAAAATTACACAAAAAATGGTAAAAGAAAACTCATTTCGTTTCAATATAATTTTGAACTATTCAGCAATGATGCTTTCATTAAAATCTATAATGATATGAAAATTGTTTCATAAACAGGAATGTTAAAAAGAGAAAGAAACAACTGATGAGAGACATTTTCCATCTTGTTTCACCCCTCCTTCAAGTTCACACTCTATTTTGTGCTTAACACCACCCTTTTACTTTCCACCATGTTTAGTTGATTTTGAAAACTAAAAACAGCACATAGAAAATCAAACACACCCTTCCCTTTCATACCTCTATCAAGATTCAAACAATGCACCACAAAGAAATTGCATACTTCAATATAAAGCATCCAAAAAATGTTGAGATTCAGTGATTAACTTACACTTCAAGAACTTTGGAAAATGTGAGCTCAAACAGAGTGATCAAAGAATAGAGAACCCAATAAGTGAGCCATTGCTGATCATCAATACTAGACCTACTCTCTATGGCTTTTATCGAAGCATATCTGCCACAAACACCAAAAGATACACTCAAAAATCAAAACCTCAAACACTTTTTTCAAAAAGTCACATTCAAAAAACTAAAGCCATACTTACAAAGGGTAAACCAGGGTGACCAAGGGCCTGAACAAAAAGCAAAAACACAAATCTCAGATCAAAATGATTCAATGTAACACACAAAAAGTTTAAATTTTTCATGTGAATCTACATCATACAATGGCATTCAAGAGTAGAGATGTAATGGACAAGAAGCATACAGAGCAAGAACATCGAAGTTCTTGAAGAGAACTTGGAGAAAACTGTCGCCAGAAGTACCCATTTGATGCAATGTTGTTATTTTTCTTTGTGGATCCTTTTGAGTGGAACACAGATGAGGGTTTGTAAAGAGAGACAAGGGAAAACAGAGAGGCTTCAAAAGTGGGACACTCCAAACAAGAAAGTAAAATTGAAAATGAAAGCATGTTGACAAAACAAAACCAGACCTTAACAAAAAGCTTATGTTTTTTATTATAATTTTTTTTTATATTAGTTATTTTATGAATGGATAAAATAAAACAAAAATGTGTAACTTCTGAGTAAAACATTTTTATATTGTGATTTAATAATAATTTTAAATTTATCTTTTTATTGAAGATACTTTTAATTGAGTAAATTATTCTTCATTAAAAAAATTATATAAAACACTACTTACATAATTATCCGCTTTTTTTTAAGTATTTATTTGTTAACATGAAGACAAAGAAAACTTAAGAATCATTGAAAACTGATTTACATGAAAAATAATTATAAGTTAAGTTTTTATTTCCTTAATTTTTTTATAAAAATATATAATATATTTTGTCTAAAAAAGAGATATTTGAGAAAAATATTAAATGTGTTAACGCGGAACAGCAGAGGCTTATTTCTATTCTGAACGTACGTACATGGACACTGTTACGTAGTGGTACTGATAGAATTATCAGTGCCAGCTGTCACCAACTGATCTCACTCTTTTTATATATTTAAATAATGCTTTATAATTGATTTATTTTTTATAATTTATTAATTTGGTTCATTTTATTTTTTATTATTTTTTAGTTGATTTAATCTTTGATTTATTTAAAAAATTTTAATTTGTAAGTTAACCATTATGTGCATATCACGTATCAATTGATTGATGAAATTTTAATTTTTTAACTTTTTTAATTTAAAAAATATAAATTGTCACATGTCAAATTATAATTATATTACAGTAACAATTTGACAATATAA